CAACGACGAGGGTCTACTGTTGTGGAACTTACTATATGACGGAGTGATACCACTCCCACTAGAAAAAGTTCAAATTATCAGGTACGCGAATGATAATGCGGTAACTGTGGTAGGAAAACAACTGAAGAATTATTAGAAAAAATTAATTTCAATACTCCTCTGCCTTGTCTCAGATATGCTCCTTTTAAGCGTGATATGCGTGAGTTTAACTCGATTTCCGAGAAAATTCTTCTTGATTTTTCTCACTCTAGGATTTCCTTCATTAATTCCCTTAATTCTGTTTTTAGTTTAAGCTATCTATTTGTATAATTGTAATTTAGTTATTTTAAAATTCTAATTTAAATCTTAATTCTCGAATAGTCTGTAAGAATTAATGTTCATAGACTTAAATAACTAAATAAATAACAGTGGGCTTATCGAGAATGATGGTTAGTATTGGAGGACCAAGTCAGGCACTCTTGGCTAAAGTCAGTCAGTCGGTGTTAATGTATGCAGCACCCATATGGGACCAACAATACAAAGTAAAACGTTCGCTAATAAAGCAATAAAGGTAACTAGCGGATTCCGCGTCGTCTTGTACGAGGCATCTGGGGTCATAGCGGGAATTATGCCGCCTGATATAATGGCACTATAACTCAAAAGAGTTTATGATAAATCCATAGGCATTTGAAGACGCTTTACAACAGTATATCGAAAGGAAGAAAGACAGAAAAGAATATTTGAGTGGCAGAGGCATTGAGAAGTAGCAGAAAAAGGAAGGTGGCCGTACACACTAATCAGAAACATCCAAGAATGGGTGGAGACAAAACGGGTCGAGACGGATTATTACCTGACACAATTCTTGACCGGACACGGATGCTTCCGACAATATCTGTATAAATACGGTAACGAGAATGGAAAAGAATGTTCATTATGCGGTAATGGCAGTGAAAGCGCGCATTACATTTTCTTTCCTTGTCCAAAATATGAGGTAGAGAGAGCAGACATAGAAACTCACCACATGATTCCACGTAAACTCGTGTAGGATAGAATGAAAATATGGTTAGCAATTGCGCTCCAAGAATTGATGAAAAAAGAGAGACAACGCAATAGCGAATACAAAATAACGAGAAAAGTACCCATGAAGAGCTAACATATAGGATATTCAAATTAGTTTGAACAAAACACATTCTTCTGCAAGAATTTTAGTTGAAAATGTTTTTGGCGATTTAAAAGGACGTTTTCGAAAAATACTACTACTGTTATTACTACTATTTTAGTTTACAGAACACTGGGATTTATGTGTAATTTAAAATTTAGTGATAAGTGCATGTATAATGCACAATATATGTTTGTATATTAGCAAACGATGATAACATTATTAATGAAAAAATTTAAAGTATAGAAGCGGAACCTGCACCGGAACCAGCTACAGTTGATTGGTCTTTTAACACGTGGAATCTATGAAATTATTTAAGTTTCATTTTATCTTTCGAACACATATGTATGTATACGAATGTAGTTATAAGTATATGTCCGTATACATACAGTTTGCCAAGAAAATGTTTTTACAAGCATAGAAGTGTG